TCTCCCGTCGAGAGCGCCGCTGAGCCCTTGATCCACGCGTCCTCGGAGATCTCGTACCGCCGGGGGATTGGCGCACCCCCCCGTGCAGCCTTGTCCTTTGCTTGTTTCCCCGCGTCAGTCAGATACGGCTTGATCGCGTTCGAGTGCGCCCTCAACCCGAGCGCCTTGAGATTCTTATGCAGCGTAGTTAGGGGAATCTCAAGCGCCGCAGCCAAGCGGCGCTGTGTGGTGCGGTCGTTCAGCGGGATGTCACGCAGGCGCTCACGCAGTTCTTCGATGGGAACGCCCTTCCGGCCGCTATTTCCGTTGCGACGGTTTGCTAGCTGTGGACTGGAGACCCCTGCTTAATGCTGCGTATCGTACCCCCTCCACAGCCTCTTAATCGTCTCCCAGTGGCAGCCGAACTTCTCCGCGGCTGCCTTGAACGCACCATACGGCAAAACCCCGTTCTTGCTGCCAGTGAGGAGGTGCCGAATCACCTCCTCTTTTTCTGAATTGTTGAAATTCTTGCGTTTTGCCACCTGGGAGGCACTCCCAGCAGCAGACATCCCTCACCAGGAGATGGGAAGGCTTTTGGGCGGAGGTTCAAAGTTGGGGTGGTGATTTCGAGCAACTTCTGCTGGGGTAGGACACACCTTTTTGGTTGGTTTGAAAAAAAGCACCGGGTCTGCGCGCCCCGCGCGAGCGCGGCGAAACCAAGGAAAAAAACGGTTCGGAAAAAGACTAAAAATTAAAAATTGACCAAGATAGACCGCATTTTGTCCAAATCACGCTTATATATGGGAACGGAGGGAGTACTTACTACCCTGAAGTTGTTGGGAATGGATGGTGAAAGAGGATGATGCAGTTTTCTGCGTGATACCCGTCGTGGTGCTGGGGGTGCGCAGCATGCTGTCAGGATCTGTCTGCCGAGCTCCCTCTTGTCACGCGAAAAATTGAAGGCAAGCCCACATCCGCTGTAGTATCTAGCACCGACGACGTGAAAACAACCTAAAAAACTCCGAGTAAGAGCAAGGTACCTTCCTGTTGTGACCCGCGGGCTGTTGCATCAAATATTCATACCGAAAGGTAGGTGAATAATGGTGTCCAGACTTTACATACGTCTACATACATATCATACAGCAGTAGTAGATGGCACATCAAGCAAGGCACTTGCACTTTTTTTCGATGGGGTTGGTGGGGGGGAGCCGTGATTTCATATACCCCCAACCGATTCCACCAAATTCCACCCATCCCTGTTCACAGCATCCAGTTCCTGTGACGGAAAGCACGGACGAGACAGCAGGTGGTCATGTCAGCCCTGGAGGGCCAACAATGGTACATCGAGGAAATACCCCCCGTAGAAGACAACGACGAGCTGGGCGATGTGGTATGTGAACCTTCTGTGACTGTCGAAAGCGAACCTGTTGATTCCGCGCAGGAGGCCGTGATCGCGCTTGATATCGGTTCAGCTGCGACTTTGGATACACAACAACGATCGAAGGTGTGTGCCTATAGCAGTACAGGATATGATGCTGATACAGCTAAGAGGTACTGACATATACCCAAGAGTTCAGCTTGGAGTGTCACTAACAATATTTTGTCGTCAATTTTTAGGAGTTTTTTCCGCGCGCGAAGCGCGCGTGCGAAAAAAACCCCGGAGCGATAGCGGAGTTTGTTTTTCGCAAAAAAACTTTGGATGGGTCCTTTTTGGTTCCCCGCCTGGGTTCTGCGCACGTTGAATAACACCGCCCGTCAGCCCGACCCCTGAATTAATTACTGTTCTCAAATTGATGTCCATGTGTGTGTTCGCACCACCTTTGCACCGATAAACAAGCCGTTTGAGGATCGTTTTCGGTGCGGAAAAGTGCACAAGCTGTAGCG